TTACCACCAGGAGTGATCCCTGAGTACTGCCAGATGTGTCCCAAACAAACAAAACAAAAAGATTTACTAGACAAGGCTGAAGCCCTCCTCAGGTTGGAGGGGATATGTCTGTGTTTTTGTTTTGGTTTGGGGGCCACAGGCAATATTCTGGGGTTACTCCTGGCTCTGCACTCAGGAATTACTCCTGGTGTTGCTTGGGAATCATATGGGATGTGGGAAATTGAACCCCAGTTAGCTGTGTGCAAAGCAAGCACCCTACTTGGATTCTCTCCAGCCCTGGGGATGTGTCCGTTTAATGCCATGTGCAGGATGGTTTGGTTTAGAATTCGAGATTTTGTTTATTGTGAGGGGGCCATAACTGGGGATACTTAGGGCTTACTACTCCTGCTCTGTCAGGTGTCACTCCTGGTGGTGCACAGGGCTCCATTTGTGAAGCCTGGGATTGAACCTGGGTCAACCACAGGCAAGGAAAGCTCCTTATCTACCAATCTCCAGCCCCTGGAGCCCAAGACTTTGCAAAGCAGATGGTGTTATGAGTTAATATTGGAATCTTTTGCAGTGACTCCAGCCAAAAGGGGAAAGATTGAAACCAAGAGTGATATGGAATGATAAAATAATATTATATGTGACACTGTGTATGTGATCTCAGCCTGACCATCTTGTTCTTCAGCTGAGAAATTTTCCATGACTCTGATTTACTTTCTAAAACCTTTCTCGGGCAGGGTGTGGGGGTGTTGATCGGGGCTATGCCAGACTGTGCTCAGGAGTGACCCCTGAACATGCTGGGAGGACCATATGTGGTACAGGGAATCCTTGTCAGGGTTGACCGCGTGCAACACAAGCACCTTACCCCCTCTGCTGTCTCTCCAGCCCCCACTGGTTTGTTTTCTTTTAATTTTATTTTTCCAGTTACAGTTTTTCAGGTAGCAATTCTAGTATTTTACAAAAGTATTTTTAGGAAAGGATGTAAAAACCAATTATATCTCAAATCTGGAATGAGGGTGAAAGAGAAGTACAGATCTATAGTAGCATCTGTTTGGGGCCAAAGAGATAGTACTGGGTTACGGTGATTGCCTTGTACTTTCCCAGCTCAATCCCCGGCACCACCAGTTCTCCCTGATCAGAGCCAGGAGTAAGCCCTACATACTGCCTGATATGGCCCCAACAAACTCCACCCAAAAAGAAAAAGCATCAGGGCTTGTAAATGATTGAGTTCAGCATACATCAACAGTGCCAGCTTGTGCTTAGGCATTCTGAATGTTTTCTGTAGTCAGATCTATTTCAGCCACTATAGTAGTGTTTAAACTTCTCTGCTCATTTTTTTTTTTTTTTTAAGTAAATGGTAAGGAAGCTGAAGTTGAGGTTAAGCCATAGGCTCTTGAGTCAGTACCTTAGTAGACAGAATTAGAATTCACATGCTAAACTCATTTTGTTTGTTCTAGTTGTTCCCCGAACTGGTCCTTGTGGCAGAATTTTCTTGTTTATTTTGTTTCCCAGAAATAAGTAAATTTTCCTTTTTTTTTTTCTTCTTTTGCTTTTTGGGTCACACCTGCACAGGGGTTACTCCTGGCTCTGCACTCAGGAGTTACTCCTGGCGGTGCTCAGGGGACCATATGGGATGCTGGGAATTGAACCCGGGTCGGCCGCATGCAAGGCAAACACCCTACCTGCTGTGCTATCTCTCCAGCCCCCAAATTTTCCATTTTAAGTTCCAAGTATAGAGTGTTATTCTTTGTTTTCCTTTGATTCTTCGTAGTTTGAATTCTACAGCTTTGACTTATGATGAACATTGTTTGTTTGGACCTGCCTGGAAACCAGTGAGTGGGAAAAGCAGCATCTCTTTCAAATGCCGCATGGGCTGTGTGGGGACACGGCCAGAGATCTCATCTGTCTGTGATTAAATGTGAAAATGCAGTGTTCTTTATAAAAGTCAGTGTATCAAGTTTAAAGGATTGTGCTTTATTCTGTGATTTTTCATTTATGGTTATACTTAAATAGTGGAGATAGACTGTATTCTAATTGTATGTTTTGTTTAATAATAGCTGCACTGAGATAGAATTTAACCTTGGGGGGCTGGAGTGCTCAATGGTTGGAGATACGCTTTGCGTGTGCCCCAGTACCAAGCAGTCCCTTAAGCAAGCCCCCAACAAATTGGGAGTAACCCCCAACCCAGCACTGTTGGGTGGAGCCTCCAAAACAAAACAAAACAAAACAAAAAAGTTGTTTATCCCTGTGTGTGTGTGTATGTGTGTGTTTTGGTTGTATATATACATATGTGTGTGTCTCTGTGTGTGCTTTGGGTGTGTGTTTGTGGTGGAGGGTTTGGGGGCCACAGCCAGGAGTGTGGGTCTTACTCCCAAACCCAGGCATCCTGTAGCTAAGCCTCTGAGCCATCTCCCCCGCCCCCTGACTGATTTTTAACTAGCCTGCTCCTGCTTGGAAGGAGTGAAACTCCTCTTGAAAACCCTCCGTTTCCCCCCACGAGCCCAGCACAGCCAGCAAGCCTCAATACTTGGCTTGGAAGCGTTCTGCTCGGTCATCCGGCCCATTTCATCCCCAGTGCTGTCTGCTGCTCTGCTTTTATCAGAATGATCCACCTGAATCCTGGATCTCTTACATAACCCCTTCCCTGTCTCCAGGTAGCTGTACCACCTGTTTTTTCTTTTTTAACATTTTATTTATTTCTCTTCTTCCTTTGGCATCCCCCCCTTAATTAAATAACATTTTTTAAATTAAAAAGTGATTTACAAAGTTATAGATAATTGCATTGTCACTGTCACTGTCCTCCTGTTGTTCATAGATTTGCTGGAGTGGGCCCAGTAACATCTCCATTGGATACTTTTTGTTGTTACTGTGTTTGGCATATTGAATGCATCATGGGTAGCTTGCCGGGCTCTCCAAGAGGGGCAGAGAAATTGAACTCCGGTTGGTCATGTTGGCTGCGTGCAAGGCAAACGCCCTACCGCTGTGCTATCGCTCCAGCCCAATTGCATTGTAGGCATATAATATTTCAGCATTGATCCCACCACCAGTGCCACCTTCCCTCTGCCAGTGTTCCCTCCCCACCCCATCCTCACCTGTTCACTTGACAGACACATTACAGAGTTCCTGTGGTTGCAACTTCGATCTCACATTTTCAGTATTGTTGAGTCTGTATTTGGGGTATATGGTTATACCACTCCCCCCTATCACCAGGATAACTGAAGCCTCGATGCGTGTTCACCGTTACTTCTTGTTCTCTTCCTTCCCCCTGGTTTCTTTCCTTCTCTGTCTTTCTCCTGTCTAAACACTGAGGTCAAGGGTGTTGTACGGGTACCCTTTGAGGAAATAGTAAAAGGGTGTCTCCCTTTTACTATAGTACATTTCCTCATCCTGTTAACCTGGCAGCCCCGTTGCTTCCTATCTGTCTCTTCTCCACCCTCCCTGAATTTCTTTCTTTCTGTCCTTCCTATTCCTTTGAGCCCAGGTCTTGGGGACGGTGAGTCTTGAGAAAAGGCAGTGAAGGGAAGTCTCCTTTCACTCCTTCCTGCATGTTTACACAAGAGCTCTCACTGCTGGCCTGGGCAGTCAGGGAGATGAGCAGTGGGTTTGGTGGAGTGGTAACGAGTAGCCTGCAGGAGACCAGCTATGTAAATGCAAGGGAGGTAGCATCTGTCATTAAACCTCAGCCCTTTGGCCACTGCCCATTTTCCACTGGGCTGGTGTTAGGGGTTCCACAAAGTCTCTAGACTGATATACCCAGGGGGTGTGATTGCTGAGGAGTCCTGACTTTCCAGCAGAGCAAGTAGTGTGGGAGGTGTTAGTGCAAATGTTTGTGTGTGCCTGCTTTGTTAGTTTCTGGCTTTGAAATACCTTTTTTTTTCTTTTTGGGTCACACCCATTGATGCTCAGGTCACTCCAGGCTCTGCAATCAGGAATTACTCCTGGCGGTGCTTGGGGGGACCATATGGGATGTCGGGGATTGACCCCCGGTCAGCCACATGCAAGGCAAACGCCCTCCCCGCTGTGCTATCGCTCCAGCCCCTGAAATGCCCTGGATTCTGGGTCTCCACCTACTCAGTTATGTGTAATCGAAAGGAAGCTGGTTACTCTCAGCAGCGGGTCTGAGCTTTCCCATTTGTTATCGACTCTTTCCCTCCCCCTCCTGTTGAGTTGTGGATTCTACTAAAATAACCACAATTCGGGGGTGATTTTGGAGCGAAGAGATCCTCTCTGAATATCCCTCACGCCCCACAAGCCTGTGAAACGTAGGTGGGAACTGAATCTGACAGTTTTAAGGAGAGGGAAGCTCACTCCCCCTATATTATTTCTAAAAATCTGAAGAGCTCTTTGGAGAAGCTCACCAAGCTTCCTCTAAACTTTTTCTTTTCTTCTCTCTCTCTCTCTCTCTCTCTGTTATTCTTGTTTTGGGGCCACACCCCGGTGATGTTCAGGTTTTACTCCTGACTCTGCTCTGCACCCCGGCAGGGCTTGGGGGACCCTATGGAGTCCTGAGGATTGAACCCAGGTTGGCTACCTGCAAGGCAAGCATCCTACCCACTGTGCTATGGCTCCAGCCATACTTTTTCATTTTTGTCTTTTTATAGGGGTGGGGTATTCTGAAGTAGAGCTCAGAGGGTCTGGGGGCCACTGCTGGCAAGACTCAACCAACCGGACCAGACAGTTCACTGCAAGGACCCGAGGGTGTAAAGTTGATAGGGAACCCCCAGGGCCAGCCTGCGGTCGATGCTCGGGAACAGGTGATCAGACTCTGAAACTGGCTCTTTCTGCACTTGCAGGAGCTTTGTTCTTAGGTTTGGGACTTCCTTGTTTCGGGTCTGGTAAAACGCTTTCACTTAGCGGTTGCCTTGGTACCAGGAACAGTAGTTTCCGTTCTGATACCAGTGAAGCATTTGAAAATCTTGTCCAGAGCATCCTGAGTATGAGCCCCCCACCCCCGCCCCCTTCAGGGAGAGGATCTTGCATTTGTCATCTCTCCTTGTCCCAGCAGCTGCCCCAGACGCCACCTGCCTTCCCATCTTGGCAGACCCACTGGTGTATGGACTTGCACATGATGGACTGTGAACTGCTAGCCACGTGTAGTGCCCTGGGGTACTTGGAGGGAGACACTTACTACAAAGAGCCAGATTGCTTAGGTGAGTCCCTTTCGGGGTGGGGGGGTTGGGGAGGGATGATGGGAGATTGGGTTTTGGGACCAAACCCGGCGGTGCTCAGGGGCTACTCCTGGCTCTTGTGATCAGAGATCATTCCTGAGGGGGTTCAGGGGGCCATCTGGGTTCCCGGCTGTCAAACGGCGCCCTGCCTGCTGTACTGTCTCCGGCTCCAAGCACATCTCCCCGGGCCTTCGATGGGTACCCTTTGAGGAAATAGTCTAATAACGTGGCTTGAATTGAGGTCTGTCAATCTCTCGAGTCCTGCGGATAAGAAGGGCTGGAACAGAGCTTCTTGAAGGGTTCCATGCGAGTGTTCGTTCTGTCCCTAAAGAGAGCGTGAAGGATCTGATCCGCTACCTGAGGCACGAGGATGAGACCCGAGATGTGCGGCAGCAGCTGGGGGCGGCGCAGATCCTGCAGAGCGACCTGCTCCCCATCCTCACCCAGCACCGCCAGGACAAGCCTCTCTTTGACGCGGTGATCAGGTGGTTTGCTCGGCTTTGTCGCTGGAGCTCAGGCCAGCCGTCTCTGCGTCCACAGGGAGGAACCAACTCCCGCCTCCGTTGTCCCCCCAGGCTGATGGTGAACCTGACGCAGCCGGCTCTGCTCTGTTTCGGCAGTGTGCCCAAGGATCCCAGCTCCCGGCACCACTTCCTGCAAGTGCTCGCTTACCTGCAGGCCTACAAAGAAGTGAGGTTTTCCTCTAGAACTTTCCTGGGCAGAATTTGGGGGTGGGGGGCAGAGAGAGTGAGTGTTGCTTAAGGTTTCCCTATTCCCTAGGCTTTTGCTAGCGAGAAGGCTTTCTGCGTCCTCAGCGAAACTTTGTATGAACTGCTGCAGCTGGTGAGTTTCAACTTCACAAGACCCTCCTGGACCAGTCACCCCTCCTGCCCCCTGCCCCCTAGCCTGGATTGAATCTCAGACCTAGCATTGTCTGGGCATACCAAGTTTGGGGGCAGGGTCCGAGTCCTTGGGGATATGTAATCCAGTTCATCTCCCTGCTTGCCTAAGGACCATTTGGGGGTGGGGGGGTGGAATGGATTGGGCCACGTCTGGCAGTGATCAGGGCTTACTCCTGGCTCTGCAATCAGGAATCACTCCTGGCAGAAGCATATGGGATGCCGGGGATTGAACCCGAGTCAGCCGTGTGCAAGTCAAGCACCTTGCCCACTATACTATCTCCCTAGCTGTGCCTCATACTATTTGAACTCTTGGTTTTTTGTTTTTGGGGCCACACCTGGCTTTCTGCTCAGTGGTTGCTCCCAGTGGTCCTGGGGGATCATATGGTGCCTTGATCGAATTCAGAACTTTTGCATGTAATGCGTGCACTCATCCCATTGAACTATCGCTCCAGCTCTGAGTGCATTCTTCTTTCTTTTTTTTTTCTTTTTTCCTTTTTGAGCTACACCCAGAGGTGCTCAGGAGTTACTCCTGGCTCTGCACTCAGGAATTATTCCAGGGAACCACATGGGGTGCTGGGGATTGAACCTGGATCGGCTGCATGGAAGGCATGCAGTACTATCGCTGCTGTACTGTCACTCCAGGCCCGTATTCTTCTTTTGTCATTGTTATTATTTTGTTTGGGGGTTACTTGAGTGGTACTCAGGGACTCTTCCTGGCTCTGCCAGTGCTCAGGCAATATAATGTGGTGCTGGAGAGTTGAATCTAGGTTAGGCGGTATGCAAGGCAAGTGCCTCAAGCTGTGAATTGTCTCTGGTCCCAAACTCCTCTTCGTCGTCCTCCTTATCCTCCTCTTTCTCCTCCTCCTCCTTCTTCCTCTACCTCTTCTCTCTTCCTTCTTCCATCTTCTTTATTTTTCTTCTCCTGGCAGTGCTCAGGGCTTACTCCTGACTCTGTGCTCAGGTTTTTGCCTCCTGCCAGAGTAGATGCCGGCCACGTTCTGCCCCAATCCCCTAATTCTCGTTCTCTGGCCAGGGCTGGGAGGAACGGCAGGAGGAAGACAACCTGCTGATCGAGCGGATCCTGCTGCTGGTCAGAAATATCCTTCATGTCCCAGCTGACCTGGATCAGGAGAAGGTGAAGGGCCGTGGTTTTTCTGTCGCCGTGTCCTGGGCTTCTAAACTCCCCCTTTGGGCACCTCAGCCCTCTAACAAGTCTGGGGAAGAACCTTGGTGAAGGAAATCAGTTGGAAGAACCTCAGGGCAGGACAGTGGGCCCGAACGACCTCCCCCTTCCTCTCACCACTCAGAGGATCGATGACGATGCCAGCGTCCACGACCGGCTTCTCTGGGCCATTCACCTCAGTGGCCTGGACGACCTGCTCCTCTTCCTGGCCAGCTCGCCCACCGAGCAGCAGTGGAGCCTCCACGTCCTGGAGGTCATCTCACTGATGTTTCGGGACCAGGTGAGGTCCGGGCTCGCTGCCTCCACCCCTGCCCCTTCTGCTGTCACTGTCGCCGCTTGAAGTGACTGATTGGTGGGCGGGTCCTGTCTTGGCTAGGGGATTCCATCAGCACTCTAGAGTTGGTTCCCTCCTTCCTCCCCCGGGAAGAACGAAGCCCAGGAATGTCTTGCCGACTCTTCCCTCCTTGCTCCAAATCTAGACCCCCGAGCAGCTGGCCTGCGCAGGCCAGGGACGCCTAGCTCAGGAGCGGAGCACTGATGTGGCCGAGCTCGAGGTGTTACGCCAGCGAGAGATGGCAGAAAAGAAGACTCGAACCCTTCAGCGGAGCAGCAGGTGTGTGCAGTGGGCCATCCCGCCCGTGTTCCTGGCATGGAGTGCTGAAGGCTTGGACTAAATTCTGAGGCAGGGAGGGGCCAGGGTGCCAGCAGCAGTGGGTAGTCGGACTTTGGCCTTGCACACAGCCTGCCTGGGTATGATCCTCGGCACCCCTTTCGGTTCCCCAAGCACCATTCTAAGTGCAGAGCCAGGAGTAACCCAAGGCATTGCTGGGTGTGGGCCCCAAAACAGACCAAAATTTTGAGGTAGTGGGAAATAGCTTGCATTTCACCGTTGTAAAGTGTTCTGCCGGGCTAAGGTAAGAGGATGAAGATAAAGCTTCTAGAGAGTTGAAGAATCACCCTCATCATCCTGGATCTTCTTTGAGTGTGGGGGGCAGGGAGGAGGAGGCAGGAGTTGGGATCACACCTAGTGGTGCTCGGGAGCTGCTCCCATTTCTGCTTGGAAGTTGCTCCCCGTGGTGCTTGGGGGGAGCCATGTGGTACCAGGGATCAAACTCGGGCCTCTTGGGTGCAAAGCATGAGCTCAGCCCATTGTACTCTGATCACTTTGGCCCTCACCCTGAGCCCTCTGGTTTCCTCTGCAGGCACTCGCGATTCAGGGGCTCCTACATTGTCCAGGGGTTGAAGTCCATTGGGGAGAGGGACCTCATCTTTCACAAAGGTCTCCACAATGTAAGTCCGCTCCCACCCAGAGGCAGAAGAGCGGGGAGGAGTGGGCGCGTGAGGATGGGTGAGCATTTCTGGACTTAAACAGGGAGATGGTCTCCTAGGTTTATTCTGAGAAAATTACAGCGTCAGGGACATGGAAAGAGTTGACAAGAGGAGGGGGCGCGGAGGACTCCGCTGACCCCTCTGTCCTGTGATACCTCCAGCTCCAGAACTACACTTCTGACTTGGGAAAGCAGCCCCGACGGGTGCCCAAGCGCCGCCGGGCTGCCCAGGAGGTGTCGGTTCAGCGCCGTTCTGCCCTCAACGTGAGGCTCTTCCTCAGAGACTTCTGCTCCGAGTTCCTGGAGAACTGCTACAACCGGCTCATGGGCTCCGTGAAGGTTGGTGCAAGGGGGCTGGGAGGGGAGTGGCGGGTGCAGACGGCAGCTGGGAGCGGACAGTGTGGGCGGCTGACCCTGGAGTGTGGACTGACCCGGGGGTAATAGGTGCAGGTGACAGTGTTGGCCTGTGCCCTGATGACAGTGTCAGGAAGCACAGTGGGTTCCTGGCAGAGAGCATCTACTGGACAAAGGGGCCTAGAGCAGGGCCCCTTTATTTGTTTGGTTTGGGGGACCACACTCAGCATACTCGGGTTACTCCTGGCTCTGTGCTCCGGATTACTCCTGGTGGGACTCTGATGAACCACATGGGGTGCCAGGGATCGAACCTGGGTCGGCCACATACAAGGCAAGTGCCCTACCCACTGTCCCATCTCTCCATCCCCAGAGAGCGATGGCCCTTTTAGGAGAAGAAGGGCGAGTCGGAAACTGGGCACTGGCTCGGTGTAATCGAGGTGGGGCCCGGGGACCACCAGGAGAGAGCTGGAATCCCTGAGGTGGTGGTGGTCTGTGTTTTTTACCTGGCCTCTAGGATCACCTGCTCCGCGAGAAGGCTCAGCAGCATGATGAGACATACTACATGTGGGCCTTGGCCTTCTTCATGGCCTTCAACCGAGCCGCCTCCTTCCAGCCTGGCCTGGTTTCCGAGACCCTCAGTGTTCGCACCTTCCACTTTATTGAGCAGAACCTCACCAACTACTATGAGATGATGCTGACCGACCGGAAGGAAGCTGCTTCCTGGGCCCGCCGGTGAGTGGGATGAGATCAGGAACCAGAGTGGGTCTCTTGGCTGGGCTGGGAATCTGGAGGCCTGAATTCTGAATTGTATTGCTAGTCCTGTTTCTGGGATTTTTTTTTTCTTTTTAACCCCAGCAATGTACAGGGGTTCCTCCTGGCTCTGCACTCAGGAATTACTCCTGATGGTGGTGCTTGGGGGACCATATGGGATGCTGGGGATCGAACCCGGATTGGCTGCATGCAAGGCAAGCGCCTTACCTGCTGTACTATCGCTCCAACCCCCAGGTTTTGTTTTTTGGTTTTTGAGGATTTTTGTTGTTGTTGTTGTTTAAGTTGTCAGGTTGGGGGGGGTTGATGCTTGGTGGGGCTTCTGTTATTGCTTTTATTTTTTTTGTGGGGACACACCCAGCAGCGCCCAGGGGTTACTCCTGGCTCCACTCAGGAATTACTCCTGGTGGTGCTTGGGGAACCATATAGGATACTGGGAATCGAACCTGGGTCGGCCAGTGCAAGGCAAGTTAAGTGCCTTATCTGTTATACTATTGCTCCAGCCCTTCTAGAATTGTTTTTAATAAGGTAGGGGAAGGCGAGTACTGTTTTCACATGCTGGCTTCATAAGTTTCCTCATTTTATTTCTCTTTCATGTCACAGGATGCACCTTGCTCTAAAGGCCTACCAGGAGCTGCTGGCCACAGTGAATGAGATGGACATGGCCCCTGAGGAGGCTGTGAGGGAGAGCAGCCGCATCATCAAGAGTGAGGCCCGGGGGGCTGGGGCGAGAGCACAGCGGGTAGGGCGTTTGCCTTGCAGGAGGCCAACCCGGGTTCGAGTCCCAGCATTCCACGTGGTCCCCTGAGCACCGCCAGGAGGAATTCTTTGCTCAGCTGCATCCACCTCTCCTTTTCCCCACCGTTCCAGGCCAGTCCTTGCATTCCTTTCTCCTCCTTCCCTGTTTCCAGACAATATTTTCTATGTCATGGAATACCGAGAACTCTTCCTGGCACTCTTTCGGAAGTTCGATGAGCGATGGCAGCCCCGCTCGTTCCTTCGTGACCTGGTGGAAACCACCCACCTCTTCCTCAAGATGTTGGAGCGTTTCTGTCGGCACCGAGGGAACCTGGTAGTGCAGGTACTGGGCAGCCCCCCGACAAGGAAATGAGCAGGGAAGGATGGAGAAGGACACGGCGCCTCTCCTCACGTTTCCTGGAGTTTCAGCTGATGTTAGCACCTATAAAAAGGACAGGCCGCTTAGGGGCTAGAGCGATAGCACAGCGGGCAGGGCATTTGCCCTGCACGCGGCCAACCCCTGCTGGGTTCGAGTCCCAGCATTCCATATGGTCCCCTGAGCACCGCCTGGAGGAATTCCTGAGTGCAGAGCCAGGAGCAACCCCTGAGCCCCTGAGAATTGCTGGGTGTGACCCAAAAAGAAAAAGAAAAAGGACAGGGAGTTTGCTGGTGTCACTATTGGAAGTCAGCTTTAGTTCTTTCTCGCATTAGTTCAACCCCTACCATGAAGGCCTTCCTTCATTCAGGAGGAAGTACTAAGCATGTAAACTCTGGTATTGATCATTTGAGGATTTAGTATTTATGCAATTGCTTCCTGGTTGTACTTTAGAAACATTGTAGTAAAATGGGAAGAAATGAAGTCAGAAGGCCCCAGATCTCATGGTGTATCAGTTACTGTTAGAATAAACTTAAGCGGCTTCTGTTAGGGTCCAGATCATTAGGATTTGGGATTATAGTATAACTTTAAAGTGATATAGTAAATGTAGAGTCTGGGACAAGAAGATTACTTCAAGGATTCCCTGTTCTGGAGACTCATGAACTCTGCTTTGCATGTGTTTTCTTTCGCTTTTCTCTTTCTTTGTGTGCCTGTGTGTGTGACATCAGGGATTGGACCCATACATACAAGGCAGACACTGTACCCCTGAACCTTAGCCTCATCCTCCCCAGGAACTCTAATCTGTAAAAGTGTATTTCCTCAGTTTAAAATTGGGTCAGAACTGGACCTGAAAAAGTCAGTAATAACTATGAGACTTGACTAAAAGTCTTTTTTTTTTAATTTGTTTGTTTTGTTGGCTTTTGTGGGCACACCCAGCAGTGTTCAGGGCTTACTTCCTGGTTGGGCAAGATGGGGTGATGGGGATCGAACCCCAGTCAACCATGTGGAAGTCAGGCACTTTTCCTGCTGTACTACCATTCTGGCCTCTAATCGGCGTTGTTATACCTTTTATACTTTCGTGCTTTCTTGTATTATCAATAATAGAAGGGAACCAGAGTGATAGCACAACAGATAGGATGTTTACCTTGCACGTGGCTGATCCAAGTTCATTCCCTGCACCCCATGTGAACCCCTGAGCCCCACCAGGAGTGATTCTTGAGCACAGAGCCAGGAGTAAGCCCTGAGGATCACCAAGTGTGGCCCCAAAACCAAAATTAATAAGAATATTAGTTGCTAACATTTATCAAGTATTTGCCATGTGTCCAATGTGGTGCTAGGGTTTTCGCACAGTCGAGTTTTCACATGACCAGGACATAAGCCCTGACAACTTGATCAATTTCTGCAAGGGCCGGAGAGGTAGAACAGTGGTAGGGCGCTTGCCTTGCACGTGGCTGACCCAGGTTCCGTCCTGGGCACCATATGTGATCCCCTGAGCCTGCCAGGAGTGGTCACTGAGCACAGAGCCAGGAGTAAGCCCTGAGTACTGACAATTGTAAATCTTAAAAAAATTAGAACAGAAATCTCTCTGAGGGGCTGGAGTGTCTGCAGAGCATGCCGGGTCCCTGTACCACCCAGAGCGACCTGGCACCAGGGTCCCAGTGTCACGAGAGAACGTACAGTCCTTGTACCACAGGCAGGCGTGGGACCCTGCCGACTGCTCTGTGGAAACTGCCTGAGCATCACAGCTGCAGGGTGAAGCCCCCACAAATGAGCACTGTGACTGAAAAAGAGATTGTGTGGGCAATGCAACCAAGTGTGTGCCCCTCCCATCCCCCCACCATTGCAACAGCGATATCAAAGATAAGGGATGGGGGGGGGAGGAGAATTGGAAATAAAAGCTTAGTTTATTTGGTTTTCTGGACCCCAGCCCAGTGTGTCTCAGGGCCAACCCCCTGCTCTGTGTTTGGTGTTGCTGTGGCTGTTGGACCAGGCAGTGCTGGGGATAAAACTTGGGCCCCCCGGTATGCAAAGCCTGCACCCCACCCCTTGCCATGGTAGTTGACGTCCAGCCATATTCTGGGTCTTATTCCTACTGACACGAAGTCTCTCTACTCGTTGCCGTGTCTCTACCACTGAACCATAAGCTCCACCAGGGCCAGGAAACTCACTGTTCTCGGCTGCTTCCCTGTGTCCAGAGGTGGCACTGGATGCATGGAAAGAGGAGCACTAGGAAGGCTCCTCGGCCCTCCAGCCCTCCTAGCCCAATTGTTTCCCTGCAGAACAAACGGAGGAAGAAAAGGAAGAAGAAGACCGTCCCGCCGCCCGATGCTCCCGCTCGCGTCCCCTTCAGCCCAGAGGAGCTGGAGGCCGTGTGGTCGCCGCTGGCCGAGCAGCTGCAGTGCTGTGCCCAGGTTGTTAGCCCGGAGCGCTGTGCTCCTCGCAGTGGAGCTCTGGGCCTGCTCTGTGGGCTGCCTCCCGCGTGACCCACCACTGCCTCCCCCTCTAGGATCCGGACCTCAGCGTGGACTCCGTGGTTCCCTTTGATGCAGCCTCAGAGGTGCCGGTGGAAGAGCAGCGGGCTGAAGCCATGGTGCGGATCCAAGACTGCCTCCTGGCTGCCCAGGCCGCGCAGGCCCTGACCCTGCTTCGTTCTGCCCGGTAAGACACTCCGCCAGCCCCAACCCCCTTTCGTCCTCGCTCCAGCTCTTGGGCACTTGTGGGTAGCGGAGGCTTGAGTGAAAGCTTGGGGTTCTCTGGGTTCCAAAGGGAGAATTCCCCTCCGAACTCTGGGAAACTTAAGTCCGGGAGAGTTTTCTTTCTTTCTTTTTTTTGCTTTTTGGGTCACACCCGGCAACGCACAGGGGTTACTCCTGGCTCTGCACTCAGGAATCATTCCTGGCGGTGCTCAGGGGACCATATGGGATGCTGGGAATTGAACCCAGGTCGGCCGTGTGCAAGGCAGATGCCCTACCCGCTGTGCTATTGCTCCAGCCCATCTTTCTTTTCTTTCCTTCCTTCCTTCCTTCCTTCCTTTCTTTCTTTCTTTCTTTCTTTCTTTCTTTCTTTCTATCTTTTCTTTTTTTTTTCTTGGAGGTGGTCACACCCGGCAATGCATAGGGGTTACTCCTGGCTCTGTGCTTGGAGATCACTCCTGGCAGTGCCCAGGAGACCATATGCAGTTTGATCCTCGCATGAGTGCAAGGCAAGTGCTTTAACCCGAGTGTTACCCCTCCAACCCCAGAGTCTTTGCATCTTGTTCTTGGGACTTTTCACTGTCACTTTCGCGAGCCAGTGAAGTAAATCTCAGTCCCTTATCCCACTTTGAATTCTAACTCAGCTGCCTGCAGCTCCAAGCGTTTGTTCTCTGTGTTCCAGGGAGGTGTGGCCAGAAGGAGATATATTTGGCTCTCAGGACATCTCCCCCACGGAGGAAATGCAGCTGCTGAAGGAGATCCTCTCGGCCCCGCTTCCCCGTGAGCCTGGTTCCTCTCACCTTTCTCTTCAGCTCTCCCCCCAGAGACTCCCATAATCCTCACTCTTTTCTCCTAAGAACTCCCCAGCAGTGCTCAGGGGGTCCGGGGAACACTCTCCGCAGTGCTCAACCCAGCTGTGCTGGCCCGAGTGCTCGGCCCTAGGGATATGATACCGTTCAGCCCACGTGGTTGAACTTGGGGAGACACTTGGGATTGAACTTGCTGGGAGACAGCCTTTGAGCTATCTCCTGCCCCTTTACTCTTCCTTTTTGTTCGTTTGGTTTTTGTTTTGGTTCCACACCTGCCAATACTCAGGGCTTCCTCCTGGGTCTGTGCTCGGGGATCACTTCTAGCAGTGCTTAGGGGACCGGGTGGGGTACTGAGGCTCGAACCCAGGATGGTCCCTTGCAAAGCAAGCACTTACCTCTTTACTCTTTTCTATAGGGCAGCAGAGACCAGAGGAACAAGGGGAAGAGGAAGAAGAGGAGGAAGAGGAGGAAGAGGAAGAGTTGGACATGGTCCAGGTGTCAGAGAAAGAATTTAACTTTCTGGACTACCTGAAACGGTATGGATCAGATGGGCTGAGTTGGTTCCAGACGAGAGAATGCAGAGCCGAGAGATGAGCAGGGTCTTTGTTTGTGGGCAGGAGGGAGTGGGTTGGTTTGAACCACACCTGGCTGCATTTAGGATCACTCCTGGCAGTGCTGATGGGGGCTGGGGGGGACCCTCGTGTGTGGCGCGGTTCACATGGGGTGCAGCCACATGCAAGGCAAGCGCCTTAACCCCTGCACTCTCTCCCCAGCCCCTGCTGCAGGGTCTTTCTTATGCTGACATCTCCTTCCCTTCCTTGGGCAGCTTTGCCTGTTCGACTGTCGTCCGAGCATACGTGTCGCTGCTACGGAGCTACCGCCAGAACAGCGCCCACACGAACCACTGTATCATCAAGATGCTGCACCGACTGGCCCATGACCTCAAAATGGAAGCCCTGCTCTTCCAGATCTCCCTCTTCTGCCTCTTTAACCGTCTGCTCAGTGACCCTGCCTCCGGGGCTTACAAGGTGAGCGGCTGCCAGGGAACGGGGGTCTGAAGGCATATGGGAATCTCTGTTTGTTTGGTTGGATTCAGGCCACACCTGGCAGTGATCAGCGCTTTCTCTTGGCTCTCTGCTCAGGGGTCACTCATGACAGTGTTGGGGGTGGGTGGGCACTCTATGGGGCTCAGGGGATCAAGTTCGGGTCAGCCACATGCCAGGCAAATGCAGCAGCTTTCCTCTCGCGCAGGAGCTGGTGACTTTTGCCAAGTTCATCCTGGGCAAGTTCTTTGCCTTGGCTGCGGTGAACCAGAAAGCCTTCGTGGAGCTGCTGTTCTGGAAGAACACAGCCGTGGTTCGCGAGATGACCGAGGGCTACGGTTCCCTGGATGGCAGGTGAGCTGGAAGAGGTGGTGGAGGGCAGGTGGCTGGGGTGGCAGGCCCACGGTGGGGGTCGCAGAGGCCTCACGCCAGCTTGCCTCTGCCCTCGTAGGTGAGAAAGTGGCCCTGGCAGGTGACATGCTTTTACCTAAGACCCCCCAGAGAGGGGCTGGGACTGGAACCCAGTGATTCCCATCTCCTGATTCCTTCTCCGGCACCATTGTTCATTGAGGGGTTGACTGGGAGTGGGGTGGCCCGCACAGAGGCGTTTTTCCCAGACGTGCTGGGAAGCCAGAAGGATTCATAGAGATGTTTGTTTTCTTCCCTTAGTCTCTCAGCTCCCCTTCTTTTTTTTAAAGTTTTTGGGTCACACCCAGTGATTCTCAGGGGTTATTCCTAGCTCTGCACTCAGGAATTACTCCTGATGGTGCTCAGGTGGGATGCTGGGAATCGAACCCTGGTCGGCTGCATGCAAGGCAAACTCCCTACCCACTGTGCTATCGCTCCAGCCCCCAACACTTCTTTTTGTTTTTTCCCATGATGCTCTGGGATCTACAGTGTCAGGTTCCATAGGCCCAACCAGTTTGACTTTTAGGTTTTATTTTGGTTTTGTTTGGTTTGGTTTAGTTTTTTGGCCATACTGGCAGTGCTCAGGGCTTACTCCTCACAGATTCAGAGGATCACATGGGGGTGCCAGGGATCAAACCTGGGGTGGCTGTATGCAAGGCAAGCACCCTACCCACTGTACTGTCTCTCCAGGTCATGACTTTTGTTTTTTTTCTTTTTGGGTCTGGAGCAATAGCACAGTGGGTAGGGCATTTGCCTTGCACACGGCCGACCTAGGTTTGATTCCTCCGTCCCTCTCGGAGAGCCCAGCAAGCTACTGAGAGTATCCCGCCCACACAGCAGAGCCTGCCAAGCTCCCCATGGTGTATTCGATATGCCAAAAACAGTAACAACAAGTCTCACAATGGAGATGTTACTGGTGCCCACTCGAGCAAATCGCTGAACAACGGGAAGACAAGCTACAGTGCTTTTTGGGTCACACTTTGCATTGCACAGGGTCACTCCTGGCTCATGCCCTCAGGAATTACTCCTGGCAGTGCTCGGGGGACCATATGGGATGCTGGGAATCGAACCCGGGTCGGCCCCATGCAAGGCAAATACCCTCCCCGCTGTGCTATCGCTCCAGCCCAGCCCATGACTTTTAGTTCTGAAGGGAAGAGAGCGTGAGGGGAAGCTGTGTCCACTGTGGGCCACTGCTGACCAGCTCCTTTGCGTTATCCGTCACTATGATGTTCCTTTTAGACCAAACCCGGGGGGCCTTTGGCCTTTTTTTTGTAGGGGCCATCAGCCTCCCTGCCCCTCTCCCCTTTTCTGTGTAGCTCGTCTGGTCGCAGAGCTCCGGTGTGGAGCCCCGAGGAGGACGCCCAGCTTCAAGAACTCTACCTTGCGCATAAGGATGTGGAAGGTACGGGGCCTTGCGGGCTGAGCATTTTTCCATGGGGGTAGCCCGAGCCCCTGGACCCATCTTGACCGGCGCCCTCCTCCTCCCGCCCAGGGCAGGACGTGGTGGCCATCATCCTGACACACCTGCGCAGCACTCCCCGCACACGCAAGCAGGTGATCAACCGCCTGGTGCAGCTGGGGCTGGCTGACAGCGTCAAGGACTTTCAGAGGTAGTGTCTGCGCGCTGAGGGCGTGGAGGTGGGGCTCCTCAGTCTCCCCCGCGTCCCCCTTCCACTGACCCCTCCCCTAAACAGGAAAGGGACCCACATTTTCCTGTGGACAGAAGACCAGGAGCTGGAGCTTCAGCGGCTCTTTGAGGAGTTCCGGGACTCAGACGGTACAGTGAGGGGGGAAAAACCGCTGAGATGGGTGGGAGGGCTACTGGGATCAGTGGTGGTGGAGAATGGGCACTGGTGGAGGGATGGGTGCTCGATCGTTGTGTAACTGAAACCCAAGCACAAAAGTTTGTAAGTCTACAACTGTACCTCATGGTGTTTCACTAATAAAAATCAAAAAAATAAAATAAAAAATTTAAGACATTAAATAAAAATAAACACTGAGACGAGAGTCAAACTTTCCCATTTCCCCGTGCTTCCTTCCTATCTCCTGAGCCCCAGGAAGATGAATCCTCGCTCTTCTGGCAGGTCATATGTCTGTGGATCAAATTCAAGTGACTTGAGCTAGAAAGCCTGTGATTTTTTGGAGGTGGGGGGGGGGGAATTGGGGGTGGGCATCTCCCAAGAGATGCTCAGGAGATCCTGGGGCCCCTGGTGATTCCCAGCCAGCTGAACCAGTGGTTCAGGGCATTGGCCCGAGAATGCGCTGTTGCATGGGCTTGGTGGTACCAAGATATAAACTGTGCCACCTTGGTAGAGGGGGGGGCTTCCAGGATGACAGCAGACAGGACTCAGGAGCCCCCAGGGTGCACCCGGCAGTCGCAGGACCAGGTGGTGCCAGGCTGGGCACATGCCAGGCAAGTTCTGGGACCTCAGACATATTGTCCTCATTTCCTTTTCCCGATTGTTCTTGCTCCTTGACAGATGTCCTGGGCCACATCATGAAGAACATCACAGCCAAACGCTCCCGAGCCCGAGTAGTGGATAAGCTGCTGGCCCTGGGCCTGGTAGCAGAGCGGCGAGAGCTGTATAAGAAACGCCGGAGGAAGCAGTCGGCACCACCCCACTTGGTAACTGCAGCCTGACCCTGGCTCTGCCAGCACCCGCCCTTCCCCTCAAGTGCTCTATGGCGCTTCGCCCTGATCCTTCCTGCCTCAACCTCTATGTGGCCGGGTCTCCCTCGGGGGCCATCAGCATCCCGGGGCTCCACTCACTCCTCTTCTCATCGTCTTTGTTCATCTACTGTCCCTGTTGAATGTTAGCCCGAAGGTGACGAATCTCTCCAGGATTTTTGCCAAGATCAGGAAGAAGAAGAAGAAAACCTGCCAGCAGAAGAGGATGAAGAAGATGAAGAGGATGGAGAGGATGGGGAGGGCTTGGAAGGAGAGCAAGCCCAGGGGAGCTCCGTGCTTTCAGCAGAAAGCCTTGGGCAAAGCCTGCACGTGGAAGGTGGGTGTGGCGTGGGGAGTTTGGCCTTGGGGTGGGCAGCGGGGCCCAGGCGTGTCAGGCTATTGCCCATCCTCCCCGCCCCGCAGGCTACTCTGCTCCTCTCCAGTGGCTCCAGAACTGCCTGTTTCGAGCGGCAGAGGATCGGGAAGAAGACGGTGAGTGAAAAAAAGTGAAAGTCTCGGGACAAGGGCGCAGCGGGTCGTGGACCAAGGGGCAGATCTTTCTTCACGTCTCCTGTCACTTGACCCCGACCCAGGCTGCTCCCAGGCAGTGCCCTTGGTACCCCTGTCCGAAGAGAATGAGGAAGCGATGGAAAACAAGCAGTTCCAGCAACTGTTGCGCAAGCTAGGGATCCGGTCCCCGGCCTCTGGGCAGGTGAGTTCGCTGGGAACGGGGTCAGCCCAGGTCTTGGCTTTGGTTCTGTTGGTTCTGCTTCAGAAATAGATCTCTGTCCTCTCCTTGCGCTTGTCACCTCTGTCCTTGTTTCCTGTCATCTCTAACCGAGATTCCTAGGGCAGCCGCCTCACAAGCGCCCCTCTTTCTAGCCTCCCCTTCCCCAAGTCCAGGTCCCCTGCTGCCTTTCAAGCTTCTTTTCTAAGAGAGACTATGCCTCTTGCTTCTGAGCACTGTTGGGCATGGCCCAAATGAGATGGGGGGCGGAAAGGAGGGAGGGAGGGAAAGGGAGAGAAGGGGAGGGAGGGAGGGAGACAGGGAGAGCTTGCTGCGCTGATAGTATTGTCCAGAGCCCTGTTGTTCAGAGCAATCAGTGGAGTCCCATGTTGGCAGAGCAGAATCCAAACTCTCCAACTAGTCTACTGGCCTTTGCAGCCTCATGGGCACGTCACCCTCACGCATACATCAAAGCTGAGTCATCCCTCCCTGACTGCTTCCCCCAGCAACTGAGTGCTAATACCTTCACGAAAGAAGACTTCTATTAGACTGACTCATAGAACAATGCACATATATCCCTCGTCTTCTTATGAACCTCCGCCCAACCTGCAGTCAGTTCATAGGCTACAGCGATAAGGCATTTGCCTTGCATGCAGCCAATACAGGTTTAATCCCTACACCCCATGGTCTCTCTCTGAGAGTGACCCCTGCACACAGAGCCAGGGGCAGCCCCCAACACCGCCAAGTGTGACCTCTCCCCCCAAAACAAAAACAAACAACTGGGAAAAAAAGAGTAAATTCATTTGTTACCTTCTCAAAAGAGCTGTACCTAGCATTCATCAACCTCTTGAAGCAAATGTTGTTACTGGCGTTCATGTATTGCCTTGATATAGTCCCATTCCTATGGTGTTGCAGTACAGTGGTTCTTTTTCCCCATTAGATTTCTTGAGAGCAGGAATCTTACTTTTTAGAGTCTCCGAATCCATCCATCATACTTATTTCATGAGCAACTATATTGGCCAGGGAGAAGACTCAAAGGGCTGGGATGCATGAAAAGAGTCTGAACTTTATCCCCACTGCACCACACGATCCGCTAAGAACTGCTGGTGTGGCCCAGGAAAATAGCTCAAAGGGCAGTAACACAGGCTGTGCATGCAGAAGGCCCATGTTCCGTCTCCAGCCCCATGTGGCCCCGTGATCACTGTCAGAAGCAACCCTGAGGACAGAGCCAAAAGTGACCTTGAACACCCCTAGGGGTGGCCCCCAAACAAACCAAACTGTTTCTCGGGAGCCTCCAGGGGTCACAGGCACTGGATAAACCATCACAAAGCAGAGGTCGCAGCTCAGGTGGACCCTTCTCGATGAACATTCACTCCATATCGTGATAGTGCAAACTCTGAGGAACTAAGGCTGGTCCCTTCCATCACTCTCGTTTTCAACTTTTCTTTGCCCCCATAGGAAACCTTTTGGCGAATTCCAGCCAAGCTGAATCCCACCCAACTCCGGAGGATGGCAGCTTCGTTGAGTCAAGCAGAGGAAAAGCTTCAGCCGGGGCTTGATCCTGAAGTCCCCGGAGAGCAAGACCCTGACGAAGGACAGGAGGAACAGCGGCAGGAGGAGCAGCGGGCACAAGCCCTGAGTGCCCTCCTAGAGGCTCGGAAGAAAAAAGCAAGCCTGGGCTGGAGCAATGGTACAGCGGGTAGGGCACTTGCTTGGCATGCTGCCGACCCTGGGTTCAATCCCTGGCATCCCAAGATGAACTGCCTCGGGGCCAGAGAGATAGCACAGTGGATAGGGCGCTTGCCCTTGATCCAGCTTGACCCAGTGGGTAGCGTTTGTACCTTGCACAGTCCAAGTTTGGTCCTCAGCATCTCATATGGTCCCCCGTGCACCACCAGGAGTAATTCCTGAGCACTGCCAGGAGTTATCCCTGACTACAGAGCCAGGAGTAACCCTTGAGCATCACCGGGTGTGGCCCCAAAACTGAAAAATAAAAAATAAGCAGGCTTGGTGTGCCTGAGAGCCGATGCTCCTTTGTTGGGCACTATGCCGATGTCAAGGGGGTGGGGCGGGTTTGTTAGAACAGACTGACCCGGATCCCTAATGCTCTGCCTCTTACGGTCCTTCCAGGGGAGGGGACCACAGAGGGGAACGAGCAACTAAAAGTGGCCGCCAAGAAGCGACAACTGCTGGACAGCGATGAGGAGGAGCCTGAGGCCGAGGCGAACAGGAGCACCGGTAGGGAGTGTGTGAGCGCCCCACCCGCTCTCCTGACCCCTCTCACCAGCTCTTGCACCCTGATGGCACCCGCCCTGTTTCCCCTCCACGTGTTCAGATATGTTCTATTTTTTCACCCCTGCCTACCCCCTAGCATCAGAGTCGGGAGCTTCAGGAATCCCAAAGAGGAAACGGTACCAAATTGTGGACGAAGAGGAGAGCGACTGAGGCGCCGGCCACCAAGGACCAGGGAGAGCCTCGGGTCCATACGGGAGAGTTTAACTTACGTATTTTTGGTTCTTGGACCATACCAGGCAATGCTGAGGGGTTACTCCTGCCTCTGCACTCAGGAGGCCATATGGATGCTGGGGATCGAACCGGGGCTGGCTGCATGCAAGGCAGGTGTCCTACCCACTGTACTATTGCTCCACCCCCCAGATGGGGAAATTAGATCAGAAGGGGAAGATCAGATGGGACCCGTCACTCCTCTTCCTGGGCAGAAGCAATAGAGTGCCAGGATTTAGGGTCTGAGAGGTTTCAGCCCCAGTGGAACTCCTGAGTGTCCACCGGTTTGATCCCTGTGCCACGGTAGCTTTCCAGAGACTTCCTCTTCTTCCAGGAAGCATTATTTTTGTGTTGTGTGTGATTCACAAAGGAGAGAAACAAGTCAAAATTATGCAATATTTTGGTTTTGTTTTTGGTTTTTTGTGTGGGGGCCGCACCTGACGATGCTCAGGGATTACTTAGACTGCACTCAGGAATTATTCCTGACGGTGCTCGGAGGACCACAAGGGATGCCGGGGATTGAACCCAGGTCGGCCGTGTGAAAAGCTACTGCCCTGTCTGTACTATCACTCTGGCCCGCACTCTGTATCTTCTTAATTGGCCTGTTCCCTTGGACCTCTGCTGGAGGGGGACCCACACACCAGAGGGGGTGCTTTGGGGCATGATGGGTGGCATTTCGCACCATTTTCTAAAGGGGCCAGAGGCCATGTCCTCATTTACCTCTTCACGCTCCTCTCCTGGATTCCCACAGCGCCCAGGGCTCTGCCACAGAGGTAGGTCAGACTGTGGCACTCTCCAGATGGAGATCGTGTTCACTAATGAAATAAATTTGTAGAATGAAGAGTTGTCTATCTTGATTTGAATGGCCAGTCTGTGTACCCCCAGCCCTCCTCTTATTATGTTCCTGGAAGAACTCATGACTGTCAGGGTTGAAAGAGACATCAGCCTTCCTCTCCTGCTTTCCCTACACAGAGACAACAGGGTGATGCAACCATGGGAAGCAGACACCACACAGGGTCTGTTAGCATATTAGACAGGAGAACAAAGTTTGGTTAAGAACAGTAAATATTGAAATATCTGTCTTTTACCTTTCTTAGAAATCTTAGCTCTCTGATCTCCTGAGGTTCCCGGCTGACTTACAGTAATGGTGAGGAAATAGCTGGAAGTCATCACGGTCATGGTCACGGTCCTCCCGTTATTCATCGATTTGCTCAAGCGGGCCCAATAGCATCTCCATCGTGAGACTTGTTACTGTGTTTGGCATATTGAATACATCACGGGTAGCTTGCCAGGCTTTGCTGTGTGGGCGAGATACTCTCGGTAACTTGCCGGGCTCTCCAAGAGAGGTTGAGGAATCGAACCCGGCTTGGCCGGGCCGGCTGCACGCAAGGCAAACGCCCTACCGCTGTGCTATTAGATTGTCTTGTTTTATTGACTTGAATTTGTTCTTTCCTGATGCTCTAAAGATGGGAAGGAACTCTGTTTTTCTTTTTTTTTCCTTTTTTTTTTTTAAGTGGGGGCACACCCATAATTGCTCAGAGCTTACTCCTGGCTCTGTACTCAGAAAACACTCCTGGCAATGCTCAGGGGAATATATATGGGGTGCTGGGGATGGAACCAGTTGGCTGAGTAAAAGATAAGCCCCTTACCTGCTGTATTATCTCTGGCTCTTAAGCTCTGTCTGAGATAATGAAGTTTCCAAGGCATTCTAAGACACCTTCTAGCTCTGAGAGGTCTTTGTTTTTGTTTATAGTTATTTTGTTTTGGAGTCACACCTGGCTGTGCTCTCAGCCTAGTCCTGGCTCAGTGCCCAGAGGTGCTCCCAGCATTGCTCAGGCAATGTGTGGTGCCAGGGATAGAACCTGAGCCTCCCATATGTGAAACATGCCTGCTGCCCAGAGACCTCTCTCCAGCACCTCTCTGAGGAGTCTATGTAGCTTTGTCGCATGCCTTTCCCCTCAGGTCCCAGCCCAAGCACTGCTTCCACCAGCTGGCATCAGGGACAAGAAAGGTGAACATAATCAAAAATAAAAACAGTTCCCGGTATGGTTGTTGAGATCATTGGACAAACTAATTAGTGCGCATCTATGTTGATTCAGGTTCTCCAGGGAGAAGACAACTAGCTAGAATTAGAAATGCAGGAGAGGGGGCTGGATCGAAAATACAGCGGGTAGGGCGTTTGCCTTGCACGTGGCCGACCCGAGTTTGATTCCCAGCATCCCATTTGGTCCCCTGAGCAATTGCCAGGAGTAATTCCTGAGTGCAAAGCCAGGAGTAACCCCTAACATCTCTGGGTGTGACCCAAAAAGCAAAAAAAAAAAAAAGATGCAGGAGAGGGGCTGCAGAAATAGCATAGCAGGTAAAACGCTTGCCTTGTGTGGCTGATCTGGGTTCCATCTCCGGCATCCCATATGGTCCACCCAGCCCCACCAGGAGTGATCCCTGAGCACTGCTGGGGGTGGCCCCCCCAAAAAAACAAAACAGGAGACTTATTGGGGAAATGCCTTGGAAGGATTGAAAGGCGCTAGAACAGCCATGGATTGGAAGACTGATGCTGGGCAACACCTGCAAGGGACACAGGGACAGACTGCAGTGTGCTCCCAGAAAACCTTGACCCTTGAGCTGGGGATGTAGCGCAACAGTAAAGCACTCACCTTCTGTGTCTGAGGTCCCGGGTTGCATCCCTGACATTGAAAGGGAATAGGGAGGGAAGGGGACAGATGGGAAGGAACCTTAGTGACAAGGGGGTCCACCTGCAAGGGCATCTGACTGAGGAGTCCCATCTGTGGCAGACTTGGGCGGCTCCAGTTATAATCCCCGAGCAATATGGAGAGAGTCAATGATGGTGTGGACACTGAAGATGCCAGGGGAGGAAGGAGCCTTTAGGCTGTCGGTTCAGTAGTCTTTTACCTGCATATTCTCTGGAAGAATCTGAGCAGCACCAGAGTACAAATAGTCGGATCCACCAGAGATGCAAGAACCATTTCCATGAGACAGTCTACTGGGAGGGCTCACTCCTCTGTGGCACCTGTTTTGAGTTGAAAGTGAATGTGCTGGAGAGACGGTTTCAAGGCCAGAGCGCCTGCTTTGCATGTGGGAGGACCAAGTTCAGTCCCCAGCACTGTATGGTCCTTGAACTGTAAGGTCAAGCCTAGCTCCTGGGTGCTATTAGGTGTGACCCCTCCCCAACCAAAAAAAAAAGAAACTGATCATGCACAGTTCAATCAGCTAATCAGTGGCTGAATAAATAGCAGTACTCCTACCAAAAAAAAAAGAAACTGAAGCCAAGAACACAATTCCATGATGTCTGAAGAATGGAAGATAGTAAATCTTAAAGTGTGGCCTGAGAACAACACACACATACACACACACACTTGGGTCCCATTTCCCATTTACATGGATCCCGACAGGATAGAAGCTTGGACAAGACTAGTCCGACCTCCAATTACTGTACGTTTCCCATGGCTGCTGTGTATCTGTTGTCTGTGTGTGTGTGTGTTATTCTCGGGCCATACCTGGAACTGAGCTGCTCGAAGCTTACTCCTGGCTCTAGTCAGGAATCATTCCTGGCGTGTAAAGGGGGACCATTTCAGGTATCAAAGATTGAACCCAGGTTGACTGCGTGCAAGGCAAGTGACCTCTCCTCGGTACTATCTCCCCAGCTCCTGGCTGCATTTAAAATAATATCAGGTGTCATTGGTGTACAAGACAATCACCCTATCCACTATACTATCACTGCAACTGGTTCCCCAGGCCTTCAGGAGTGATATCTGAGAGCAGAGTAAGCACCACTTGGTGCCCCCCCCGCAAAAAAAAACCACAAAATAAAATTTTAAAAAAGTAAGTACCAGGGGGCAGAGGGATAGTACAGCCAGTAGAGCTTGTACTCAGCCCACCTGGGTTTGATCCTTGGCATCTCTTATGATCGCCTGAGCACCACCAGAAGTAGTTCCTGAGTGCAAAGCCAGGAGTAACCCTGAGCATTGCGAGGTGTGGCCCAAAGAAACAAATGAAACGGTTCCCAGGAAAAGGTCCCAGTGTCCTTTTTTCCATTCCTGGGATTCCAGCCATCCACTTCATATCCCAGGATCTGCCAGATTTAGCTCCTGCTTTTATCCCATGTCCTCCTTGCCCTGGTCCTGATAGGCCTGGTACTAAGGGAAGCCCTCGGGAAAACTGAGCAATCAACCCGGTGCAGCACCTTTAAGTCCCGAAGCCGGGATGTCTGAAAGCCATGTAGGCCCACCCCACCCTCCAGTTCTAGAAACTCTGGACTCTGCTGGGGTGAACTGCTCAGACAGTGGGAAAGAGGTGTAACCTTTGCACTGAGAGCTGCCCGCTGAAACAGCACAGTAGGAATTGTGTGTTGTCAGGTGTGAGATCCAGCAACAGACTGGGCACAGGCTTAGTATGGTGCTTCAACAGAACTACTCCTAGGTCAATAAAAAGTTGAGTCAGGACCATAGACCTGAACTCAGTCCTGATGAGCACTATGGTTAGGACCAACTGAGTTGCTGGTCTGCCCTGTATTTAAGCCCATCGATGAGAGGTCTAACAGCTCATCCAGAGCTACTGTGTGAAACAGCCCTGGCAGGATTTGGGTGAGTGAATTGGAGGAGACGCTAACTTGCTCTCAAGGGCAGGTGTCAGAGTTCGTTCTGTAAAGCAAGATAGTTTTTATTGAAACTTAAGAGAAAGTGAGGGGAGAAAGAGAGTGGATGTGCTCAGGCAATAACATGGCTTCTTTAGAGTGGAAAAAGCAAGCAGATACAAGCAAGCAAGGGATATGTTCAAAGGAGAACACAGGGTTGAAGAACAGGTTTTTAAGTTGTCAGAGTATTAAGTTCAGGTCTTATGAGCAGAGGTTGCACACTTGGTTCTGGGGTGCTGGAGATCACACACTCCGCTGTGACACCAGCGGTCCCACAAGGCCATAGGGACCTAGCTCAGTGCATGTGGGTGGGGCCAGGGATCAAACCAGTCTCATGCTGTAAAGGCAGGAGCGTTTTGCCACTACAGGCCTCTACATAGATTTTTGTTGTTGTTTGGTCCGTTATGTAATTGGGGTGGCATACCTGCTGTACTTGGGGTCTAGTGCTAAATCCATGTTTGGGGAACCATGTGGTATCAGGGATCGAACACATGCAAAGCAGTGAGCCAATCCTTTAAGCCATCTCCCATTAATATCATTTTCTAAGGGGACTGGTGAGAGAGTACCATGGGTAGAATGTTTGTCTTGCAGTGCCAAATTGGTTTTGATCCCCAGCACAAAGTCTGGTCCCCAGAGTGCCAGGAGTGATCCCTGAGCACTGAGCCAGGAGTATGCCTTGAGTACTGACGGTGTGGCCCAAAATCAAAAGTTATCACTGTCATCCTGT